GGTGACTACAATAAAAGTTACAATGCAACAGAAGTTTCTCATGCCTTATTTAGAGTATGCATAAATAACTTTTTTCTGGACATGTAAATTCTGATTTTTGTATTCCATCTAATAAGGCGATTTTATGTGTTATCTTAGAGTTTCTGGCATATGTCTGTTAGTTTTCTGAATTTCAAATGTATTGTAGAGAGGGGTTATACACATCTATAAGTCAAACTGATGTTTCCTGTTCTGAAATATTTAAACAGTTCTGAATAAACTTAAACAAGCTGAAGGTCTGCTGACTTTAAAAGGAAAATAAATAATTGCTGCATGCAGTGCACTTGCAGACATAACTCTATAAGCATTTAGCAAACTCTTTTGTTATTAGTGAACTTAAAATAAATTACATGAATAGCAACTCTATATTTTCCTCTCTATCCCTTCTCTGCTGACAACCTCTTAACCAAATAAGGGGATAGCTAAATTCTTTCTAATTCTTGCAGAAAGGTCAAAAGTGGTTGAATTTAAGTTGAATGTTTGCATCTTTCTCAACTTGACTACCCAAAATAAGTTCTGGCTTTCTCTAAAGCTTGTGTGGTCTGGGAGGCATTCAGCTCTTTTCCCATCCACTCTTACCTTCTCAGTGTCCTCAAGGTGTCTTGCAAGTCTTGCAGTTAAAATTGTAAGTCCACCTTCTGCTGTCAGACAGCAAGAGTGCATGTTAGAGAAGGTGTTCAACCTTCCAGACAAACCAGGGAAGGTGAGGGCAGTGTCCCCTCAGCTGTGCACAGGTACTTGTTTGTATAGTGGTGCCTAAATCACCTCCCACTTGGTGTTCTTAAAGTGGCACGATCCTTCCCAAAGAAAGGGTGTAGCCATTCTGCCTTGACCGCAGTTTGCTCAGGATCAGCAAAACAATAGCTGGCTGTTCACACATGCACAAGCTGCTTTAGGAGACAGTCATTTGTAGTGAAAAATTATGGCCCTTTTCCTGTCAGGAAACCACTTGGGGTTTTTCTTGTAAATCATCTTATTTACTCAGAAGTGAATAATCTGATAATAATAAGCAGTCAGAATCTGAGTTAATGAGCAGCACATGCAGCCTTCAGAGCATGAAGGCTCATGACAGTAAGGATATTGCAGACCCAAGGGGTTCATACACTCAACTCTTTGAACTATGTACGTTCAACAATCCACTTGCTACTCACAATCATAGCTTTATTTAAATAATTGAAAAATCACAGCTACAGTCAGGCTGCTGCAGTATCTATTATGGAGTAAAAAACATGTAAGACACTTTTTCAGAGGCTTTGCTAAGTCAGCTTTCTGTTGTGGAGGTGGCACTACACAGTCCCTGAGAAGTGGCCCTCTTATCTGTACACAGTACTGCATCTAGCACTTGTCTGATGACAAGGAAAGATGTGAAGGTCAAAGTGTAGCCTGGGTTAAAAACCCATTGGTGGGGACAATGAAGTCTGCAATTGTCTTGGAATGGATATATCCAAAGGGGTGTACATTTGCACCCACTGAAACCGAAGTTCAGACTTCAAGTATGTCCCTCTAGACCTCTAAGTCAGCTAATCAGCAATAGATTTTTTTTTTTAAACACAAAGCACAGAAAATATGAACTAGGGTATTATTACATAAAATAACTGTTAAGAATAATTTTTCACAACAGCTATTTTTATAGAATTAAAAACCATTTTCTGAACCTTTGTTTGGGGAAAAAAACCCAATTGTTTTCCACTGTACAAGGCATAATCAGTAGCGCTTTTCCCTCCAAACTTGACATGTGACTTCCACCTCTCTATCTTTGACACTAGTATTTCATTGATCTTGCCAAAACCAAGTTCCTTTTTAAGTTTCTTTCCAAGAAATCTGCTTATCCTGCTTTCTACTAACTCTTAAAATTAATATTTTAATCTTAATTAATCCTGGTTGTGGTGTCATTACTACCACTTTTGGAAACGGTGCTCTCCATTGACTGAAAATTGAACAACATCACAGTTTGGCTTGTCAGCAAGCTAAGTGGTTCAGTACATGCACAAGTATTGGTAAATACATAGTAAATGGTGGCAGTCTTATAAGGCATAACTAGTATTTAAGGTTAGGATAGGATGGATTAGGCTTTTCAAATAAGATCATAAATGTTTCAGAAAATAACTTTGAAGTAAACAGTTGCCAGCCTTGGGGAATCCTGTCTGCAAATCAGAGGATACTGTGCTGCCCTCCCATTCAGATTTAGGAAATAAATCAGGTGCTCAAATGCTGAACTAATCTGCTTTTCAGGCCAAGACTGCTAGTTCCAGACCTGACTGCTCTCCATGGGGTTGCTGGAGGAAGCAGCTTCAGGCAGGGTGAGAAGTACTTGCTTTGAGGTTTTAGGTCCTCATCTAGTACCACAAGTAGCTAGAGTGTCTGAACAGGGCTAGCATCTATAGCTGTGGAGTAATACATTATGTCCTTTACCCTTTTCTCTGGGAGTCCACAGGGGAAAATGCCCAAACACAGGGTGGTGGGGGGAACATTTCTTCTCTGGCACATAGTCATTAGACTGACACTGAAGGTGACTTTTTCACACACCTGCAATTAGCTCTAATTTTGAGATAACTTTTAACTCCCTGGAGATAAGCAGGATAAAATAAAAACCTTACCATGGCTTGAAATGTTTAGGGGGTGTGGGGGTGGGGTTGTCCAACTTCTTTTTATCAGGCTGACATTAATCATTGTAAACTTCCTAAACTTTATTGAAATACGATGAATGGAAAACTACTGCATGAGGTGATGCCTATGTTCCTGTTTTCTCCTGCTCATGGCAGGGTTAGTTTCACAACAGGAGTCATGCAAGGCTGAAGACTGTGGGCAGGTGAACTGATGGGTGCAGGCAGATACTGGTGAGCTATAAAACGTTTGTGAATATGAATAGCATTTGAAAGTGAAACAGTGCCTACGGACTCCTGAATCCTCATTTCCCTTCTACATACATGCTTCAATGGGTTACCATACCAACACAACAGTCTACCTAGATCTTACATGATATAGGATTCAGTAACTTACATTTTGGCTATATTTGTCCAGAAGTAGAGCATTAGTTAAGAGCTTGTAGATCTTATTTGCTGAAAAGATGCATTGGATAAACTGAGGACTCTTCTCACAAAAGTTTTCTCTTTGCATATGTTGGGATAACTTTACAGTTCTCAGAACAGGGAAACATGGTCCTATTTAGTATGCATTATTGTGATGAAGGATTTGAATATTGCTGGAGTGAATAATTAAGTAACCTGTGGAAGTAGACCACCTACAGGCACCAGATTGTTCAAGCAGAAAGATGTCTTAGTTTGACATTAGCCCTGTTGCATTTATCATTCTAAGCAAATACCCGTAAGATAAATTGCTTAGTTTGCAGTGAATAACAGCAAGAATGATTCACAGGCCATGACATCAAACAGAGGATGGAATGGAGGCCAGGAAGATCCATGCCTTGTCACAGCAAGTGATAAGAACATATACTCAAAATATTTGAGTAATTGAATTTAAGCCAGTGCAGGAATGTTGTGCGTGGCCGGTTGCTGCTCTGGAATTACAGCGATGTGCACAGCTACAAGGCTCCAAGCAGCCCTTTTGCTGGCTCCTGCATTCACACCAGCTGTGAGCTTGCCTTCCCTCCACAGTTACCTTCATACTTTGACTGTTCTGTCTCCCCATTGAACAGAGGGTGAGAGGAGCTGGCCTGGCTCTAGAGCTCATAGTTTCCTTACTCAGCTCTCCATGACCAAGCTGGAACTAATAAAGTGCATGTGAGTGTGAATGATAGCCAGGCATTTGGCTTTATGTATATGGAGACATGCCCAGATGCCCAACCAGTCTTTGTACCATGTCATGGAGCTTATACAGAGCCTTTATCACCTAAGCTATGTTGAGGTCAGCTGCCCTAGAGAAAGGAAAAAAAAATCATAGACATCTCTGGATGTGCCTGTTACATACTGCACAATGGCAAATCTAACCTCAGGAACACTCAACTTCAGCAGGTGACTCAACTCCGGTAACAAAGTTGTCCAGAAAGTTTTTGACTTAGTACTTCAGCTTGAGCTGAAGGGTGCAGGCTCTGAGCAGCTTCTGCACGGAATGCAGAGTATAGTCTGCTTCAGAAAGGTAGGCATCCACCAAGCTTAGCCCCATGGGAATCCCAATGAGAGATTGCCAAGCAGCTCTGTGGCACCCAGAAATTAGCTGTATCTGAATCTCTCTACTATCTAGCTCAAAAGAACTGGCCTTGTCATGGATCTATTGATCTCCCTAAATGCCATAGGTACTATAACTTCTGTTGGCTCCTGTGTGTTTTCTTCCACACACATCCCACGTGGCATGAGACCTTGGGCTTCTTGTGCTGCTACCACTTTGAGTCTGGAAAGGGATTAAGAGTTGCTGGAGGTGCCACAGCAGGTACATGAAGGTTAAAGACCTGCTGCCTCTAAAGTTTTCCCATGGGAAATGTGCGCCGGGTGAGCAGCGCTGCGCATTTCTTCTTTCAGGGGATTTTTCATGGGTGAAGATGGCCAAAGAGATACAGGCTGATCAACAACAGTGGTATCATGAGCATCTGTACAGGTAGGTTTGGTGAGGGGAAACTTACAGAAAAGCATCAAAATACACACAACTTAGAGGCTTGTAGGTAAATGGGTGCTGGAAGATCTTGTGACTGCAAGAAATGTGCCCAAGAAATCTACTGTTTGCTCTTGTAATAAGCCAGCACGCTAACAGAGCAGTAGGAACCCATAGGCAGTTGTATCAAGAAACTCAGAGGGCAATGAGTAACATCAACAGAACAGACAAACTGGATGCTGCTTTTGTTATAAGTAATTTCCTCTTTATGGCTGGCATTTGTCTGAAAGATAAATCAGGCTGTGAAAGTGATTTTTATTTTTCATGCTGCATTGAGTTCACTAGCTACAAATGAAGAGACAAGGGATAGGCAAGCATATTCCAGGGAGCCTGCCAGAGAGCAGCAGGGGGAAACACTAAAAGTGACAGACAATAAGGCAATTCTGGCTACAACTTCTGTTCTTCCAAGTGCCATCAGTGTACATCTCCACACATTCCTTTTCCCCTTTGACAGAAGGTTCATTTAAATGCCAGTTAGTATAGCTCAGCTGTGTACCATCCAGGAACTGGACTATGCCTGGAATTAGAGATTCCTTTATCCCTAGGTAGGTGTAGGTATCAAAACTTTTCACAAAGTACAGAATGGCATCATGTTCACCTGGGTTCCTTGGAGTGGCAACAGACCCTCCAGCCTCTTTGCATTTTTTCAGTGTAGTATGGAAAGCAGCTTTTTTCCTATTGTTAGCAAATATTTTTCCTCCAGATGGTGTTATAATCTTTTTCAAGTGGAGGAGGACTGCAACGTGAGGTGAAAGCTATTAATCTTTTATGCATTGTTTTGTGGTCACTTTGCCAATTATAATTCCTGCTATTTTCCTCCATAATTTTAGATTAAACCCAGGAAAAGGTAAAGGAGAGGAAATCAAAGATAAAAAAAGAAAAGAAAGACAAACACCAAAAGCCAGAAGAAATCTGAAAAGAGGAGGGGAAAAAGGAAGGCAAGCATAAATATACAGACAATGAAATAGGAGAAGCACAAAAGAGATTGGAGGAGGGAAGGAAATTAGGAATTCTACATTTGGAAAAAGTATATTATTATTTTCTTTGAGACTCTGTAGAAGCTCTTAGAAATGGCTTGCAGTATACAACAGTATTTGAGTGAGTAGGATCTTAGATGTGATCTGGTTGTGATTGTTTTGCTATGTTTTCAGTGTGCAGTTTATTTGTCTGTTAGGAGCGTGAGGTGCCCGTGGAGCACTTCTGCATACGCAGGGATTCTAATCTGATAAATTGACGTGCTTGCATGTGTACTTCAGAGCTGTTACCTAGGTGTCTCCCACTAGCCATGAAAAACTAATTCCCCCTCCCCCCATTTGAGATAGCACTCTCCTATCTACCAGTGAACAAAATATAAATGGAATGCAACAAAACTGTAGAAAATCTTGCCTTTTTCCTAAGTAGCCATTTAGTTGCTAATCTTGTTTATGCCCACTATCCAGGTACAGCAGAAAGTAAAGGCAGATAAATTACCTCCTTCAAGTCTGGAAATCTGATGTTCCAATTGATGGATAACATCTTCCATTTCATTATCAACCAGCTGTAGAAAACCTATGAACAAAACCAGCTATTATGCACTTTGCATTACAGATTGAATCTTGGCTTTCAAGACACAGCAGAGGTAACTATGTGAAATTAATACAAACTTTTAAGATGTTTGACCTGTTTTAGTGTACTGCTGTGTTTTAAAGAGGGGATCTTTTCACATGTTGATCTTTGTAAGCATAGGGAATACGTTCCTGGAAACTACCTGCAGAGCAGTAATGGAAAACCTGAATTAGTAAACAGAGTTAGTCTTTATAAGTGATTGAGCCAGTCCGGGCAAAACACTGCCACTTGTTGACAGAATCTTCAGGCCGTTCAAGCACTTGCAGCTCCACCCTAACACCTAGTAACAAGTTTCTTGTGCCCTGTGTTATGGAAAATGATATCCTTTTCTCTGTGAACTGAACCATTGTGTCATTAAGTAGGAGAGATTTAAACATCTTAGTTCATACAAGGAATGAATAAAGATGTTTATTTTCTTCCAAGGAGAAGCCACATCAGATTATACAAGATAGCACTGAGTTTACAAAGCATAAAAATAGAACACAACAGTAAATCTAGATAGAAATGCAGATAGTAACTGTGTGTACCTGGTGTAAATCCTTCATCTAGCCACTCTTCAGGCAAGTGCACAAAACCAGGTGATGGAGGAATTCTTGCAGGTTTACCTTGAGCACAGCATGGGAGCAGGAAAAGGCTACTCCTAAGAGTTTGTGGAATAACTGTGGAAACAGCATTATTTAAAGCCAAATGTAAACCAGACTGTTTTACTCTCCAGTGCAGATTCCAGTATTAAAAAAAAAGCAATGTTTCAGAATTTTACTGTCTGGGTTAGAAGTTTTCTGTACCTTAAGCTTTGCCCTCAGTGCCATGAATGTCATTACGTATGCAAAGTTAAGTTGTTTCAAATAATTAAAATATTTTTCACAAGACTCAGTCTGTTAGTCTACAAGAGTCTACAGACCAAAAAACCAAAACATCCCCTTCAAAGTTTTTTCATACAGCAGATACTATTATATGCCATTTTTCTCATGCAAAAAGCTATAGTTTCAGTCTTAACTTTACAGAGGAGCAATAGACACGTGTCTGCTGTAGTAAGAGAAAGCCAGGTTAAGATAACCTGGGACATGCTGTCTTTATCAATTGGTTTAAATGTAAACAATTGTTAATGCTTATCCTTCCATTATGGCATCCATCATTTAGAGCATCTTCATCTCATGTGATACCCTCTGTAAAAGAAGGTGAATGTTTTAATAAAACTGAGACAGGAAAAAAAAAATCTAAAATGGAAAGGTTTGTAACAGTTTAACAAGATTAATTATTCACGTGGAAACCTATTTAAAGATGTTCAACTTGCCTAGCACCTCCAATGCGAAATAAGAAAGACTCATTAAATGGTCTCAATTATAGGGCATGTAACTTGAGATTCGTCTTGTTACCTACAGGAAATACAAAGAGCATGCAATATGATACAAATTTGTTTATGGATAGAAATTTAATGAATTTTAACTTGAATGATAGAGGGGAGGTTTTCTTCAAGAAGCAAACACACTTAAAATATGAGGAAAATATTTGAGGGTATTTTCTTCATTTGTAGAAACACTTTCACACATTTAAAAAAAAAAACTCAGCAAAACAACCCTGGAGCAGAACAAAGCAATTTCTCAATCCGTCTGAAATAGCAATTGTTGCCACAGAACATCTGTGTAAATGTTAAATTGTAAATGTCACTGAGGAGAAGCCAAAACAAGTTCACCTGAAATACAATATGCACCAGGAACACCATCATTTTCATTACAGACTGAGGACTTATCAGCACTAATTACTGAAATCCTGTAGTTAGAGTCCCATAATTGTAGCAGCAAAGCCAAAAGACAATGGTACATCTGCAGCATATGTAGAGGTAACCAGCCCCAGAAGTATAAATTTAAATAACTTATAGAATACTGTAGAGGAGGTTTATATATCAGAAGTAATAAGTTTTATCCAATGGAACAATGACCTTTAAGTGAAGGAAAAAGCTGCTCTGAACCAGTCCTGTAAGCACAGAGGCCTCAAGATGCAGAGCATTGCTGAAATGGAAAGGCATTGCCATGTATTTTTGAGTTATTCTCAGATGACAGTTGTTTCTATCTAATGGGGACTTATAGGAAAGGAGTTTGAGGCTGTGCTCCAGTTCAAACAAGTAAGATGCAGTCACACCATCCTTGTTGTGACAGGCTAGCATCCTGATGTTGCAGCAAGGCTAACAGCTGAGTCAGGAATAGGTGCTTTAAGACTTAGATAGGGAATGTGAGTAATATCTGTATTAGTCTAAGATGGTACTGGATACAAGCAAGCCTAGATCATGTCCACAGGAACTTGGCACCTCTACCCTATGCTTTCATACTTAGGTTAACAACTGATGTAGAGTCCTTTGTCATTGGTGGTGTGCCTGCAGAAGCCCGATTAATTCCTGCAGCATTGTTTATTGAGTGCCCTGGAAAATGCAACAGTCCTGTGAAGCAGTACCCAACTGTAGGTACCTTGACAGAAGAGGGCCATTTTAAAATTGCACAAGTAATCTTTGTTTAAAGTTTCTTGTAAATTTCAAGTTTCTTAGCTTTTGAGTGTTTGACTTAATGCTTTTAACATTCTTGTGGCTGAGGTTTTCTAATTGTTTTGTGGCAAAAAACCCAACCAAACCAAAACAGAGAACATGAGACAAGCCATTACCTGTGGTCCAGATGAGCCCTAGAAAAGGTCACTGGCAGAATCTGGGTCTTTGCATCTGTGGTAAGAACAACTTTAGCACTTCAGCTGCATCTGAAAGAAACTGCAGGTTAGTCAATTGTGAGAAGAGAATGAGGCTTGGCCTTCATTAGTTTCACATGCTGACTGGTGGCCTGGGAAACCTGGAGGGAGACAAAAGTTTTTCTTGTGTGATAGACTCCTGAGGAAAAACTGATTTAGACTTGATAAATTCTGAACTTTTCTTCTCTTGATTTTCAGCAGCATACTGACAAGATGGAGGAAACTAAACCAGATATTTAAAAATACTTATATTTCTACTATGCTTATTTATGATTGCCTAATAGAATATTCTATATAACTATCATAACTTTATTTTCTGATCTTGCTTTGAGCTGTGAAGCTCAAAGCACAGAAGCTCATCAGGATTCAAGGATATAGATCTGATAAAGAACAAACAATTTCTGAGTATCGAGGCAACTTTTCTTCTGTTTCCACATCTGTCATTAAGAGGTTTTATAATTTCAGTGCTAGTGAAGCAAATGAAGGATGTTCTGAGAGTAGCGGTGTTGCACAATGTAGGTAGGTAAATGCAAAACATGCTAAGGACAAAAGCTGGTCAACACTGGCTTCTCAGCTGCTTTGAGAAATATAGACACTAGAATTGAATTTCAGTTTATGAAAGTGGGTGTGTGTTCCTCCCATGAGCCTGTTTGTTAGTCTTTTCTTTGTATACTTAATCTCCTGAAAGTTTTTTTTCCCCTTTATAGTGCTAGTCACACCACAGATAACATTGAAAAATCTTTTTGTATTCTCTCAGTTTGTATTTAAAGGGCCTCAACCCCATATATATTTCCTGTTTACATTGATTTTGTGCTGTTCCGCTGCTGTTGCTTCCATCCTACCTTGCTACCACCTTGTCCTGTGCTTTCTGCATTTCCTTTTCTCTTCCAAATAATTATCTGGCTGACCCCAGTAGCTCCCTTATGCCTGGGAATATCAGGAAGAGCACAGAGCATGTGGGATGTAGTGTCTCCCCTTCTCAGACAAGGGCTGATGCTATTCTTGCTGAGCTTTAAAAACAGGAAGCAAAGAATTCAGCAAGATATGGACACCTGGGATGGCAAACTTCAACATGGCTTTTCTAAATTATGAGCAGCATTTTAGAGCAGAAAATCTTCGGTTTACCTGCAGACAGTGTGGTCAGTGCTTGTAAATACTACTGTCATCTTGCTCCACTGACAAATTATGTGTGAAGGATCCAAGTGAAGGGTCACTAGATGTCTCCGATATGTCACTTGGTACAGCTCAGCTGAAAAACACAGAAAGAAACAGAGTTCATGTTCATAATGAATAGAAAGGAAGACAATATCTCATCTCTTCAATAGCTGTTAATAGCAAAAAAGCACGTTTATGAACCAGATGAAAATATTATTCCATATATTCTGCAGTTGTCCTCCATTATATGCAGAAGAAGGTTAAATTGTTCACTACAGTCTTTACTACCATAATTACCATTGCTGCAGTCTCCTTGAGGGTTGAGGTACCCTTGCTGTACAGTTCCTTTCGGCTTCTGAGCCACAAGGGCACAGATGGGTGGAAGTTTCATTCAAGGTTTCATTGGCATCACACCTGGCTTATCACCCTTGAGCCAAATTCTGCCAAACCCTGGTTTCCTAACAGGGCCTTCAAATCAAATCCAAGCTCCCTTATCGTTTTTAGAGGTGCTACTCCAATTCTGAAAAATCCTGTATTGATTGTGCTTTAAACCCAGGTATGTTTGTATAACTGTAGGCTAATATGATTTTATAACAGTACATTTCAACTTCTGATAATGAAAATCACTTGCAATCTGACAGTTTGAGGTCCAGACAAACATGTCTGTATACCATTACACAATACTCGCAAGAACATAGATTTCCTCTGGTTCATAAGATTTGTAACAGGGCCATTAGTCTTTCTACCACTTCTTAGTGCGGTTTCAAAACTAGCTAACAAATTTCCCAGTGGCAAATATTTCTTCACCTATTTGCACTTATTGTTCTTCTAAAGAAAAGCTGCAAATAAACGTATGATTAATTTTTACTTTGTATTTGCAGCACTGCTATGATATTGCAGCAGTGAGTATTGGTATTTTTCCACCATGTATGTTATTTTCTCTGGAAAAGAGCAGAGGAATAACATAATTATTCTTTAAATTTGGCTTCAAAATTTTTTTAAAAATTAAATAAAGTAGGCGCTAGTTACAATTTATACAAGATAAGGAAGCCCTGACAGCCTGTGTCACATGCTACCAGTTGCTGAGTTCACAGAAGGTTGAATTTGAACACAATTTTCCCAAGAACCATGGGGCTTGGGTTCTTTGAATCAAATCTCTACAAAAATCAGCAAGTCACAGAAAAATACTTATTTGCTGTAATCGGAGCCACTTCTTTACATGTGGCAGGGAGAGGTTTTTGAGTGCTCAAAATTGCTAATAGTCTTTTTAAGCTAAAACATCTAATTAAATTATACCATTATAAAAGAGGGTATTACTGTAGACCAGAGAGAATTCTCTCTGAAATAAATATCCATCATTGTTATGGCCAGACAAAGCTCTCACTGTTAAATATACTGTAATAACAATTGTATTAAACTTCTTCTATGAGTTACTGTAATCCATTTGCTTCAAAAGGGACTGAAGTTTTGTGACCTTTTAACTTGTACTAAGATCTTAATTCTCAAAATCTGCTTTTAGAGTATTTGAGAAACGAATAAGTTATTTTTCTGAATTTAAAATCTTACTGTTAGATTGCTTTTCTGTAGCAAATTATTATAAATTATGGAAAAAAAGACTAACCTGGATTTTTCCTGGTCTGGTCATTATGCACTAGGGATTATTTTTGCTCGTTGCATTTTCAAGGAAAGATTTTATCAAAATTATTTATCATACAATAACAGAACAGAGAAACAATTTATTTTGTTTGTTCTTGTGCATGACCTCTCTGTCCATTTAAAAAAATTCCATTAATACATGAATGCAGAATTTGGCTTTCACAAAAAATAGACTGAAATGCTTAAGTGTTTTAAACAACATTTGAGGGTTTACATTCATATGGTTATACACACACAAAGCCATCTAAAGGAACAAAATAACTATTTCTGGATACTTTCCTTTGTGGAACTGCAAAGAATAATCAAGTAACATTTTACTGAGTGTGCATGTTCACCAGGATTTCTTAATTATCATAGGTGAAACCCATGAGAAACAAATGCATTCCAAGACTGTAGAATACTGTTTTTATTAGGGAATTTTATTTCTTCCACATATCTGGACTTGTTGACACTGGATTTTGACGAACTTCAGAGAAAAAAAAAAGGTTAGGAGATAAAAGTCCATGCAAAAGAATGTGGACACAGCTTTTTATAAAGAAGGCAGAAAATGGGCAGATGTCCCCTTGATATCTTCAATTTTATATATATGAAGCATAGTCAAGACTTTGGACACAGAACAAGAAGAGCTGCTTCAGGCTAGAGCATAGCAAGAGAAGAGCTGAGTATGATGTTATATAGAGATATTTTATGCAAATAACTAAGGAGTTTCATTCAATTACCTGAAATGTTACAGATCTCAGTGTGAACCACAGAGGGGAAACTGCTGCCTAGCAGTTTTTTGACTGAATCTGAGGAGGTTTTATTTTTAAGCAGAATTTGTGTGTTTGATTAGTTTTTTCCTAATAGTAATGGCTTCAGCAGAAGGAAATCGAACCTAGTGTAGATGATTTGCTTATTGATGTAATAAAAATTAGCTTTTGAATGAAAAGGTAATATTTTTTTCAACTGGATAAAAGCCACCCAAGTGTGTTGAAGTCTAAATCTGTTTAGACATAGGTGATATATTGTGTTAAGATTTTATACATTAATGGTTTTAACAAAAGATTTGTATAGTCATTTTGTAAATGCAAATGTAGTAGAAATAAATTGTTAATTAACTAAAGGAATAGGAATCTCCTGACTCAGTTGGAGATCTATGTAAATGAATATGTGAATTTGGTTCGGATAATAAAAGACCGTATTCGTAGAGTGGGTTTTTTTGGTCTCTTTATCAAACATGATGCCTTCTTATACTAGATAATCATCTTGCTCTAACAAAGAAGCTGTATGGTTGAAAGACTCAAGAATTGCTAACGAGGTTTACTCATTAAAATGCTATTAATTAAAACACAAGAGGTAGAGGTAGTTTTAAGTAAACCTTCAACTCTAACAGATTTAGCACAGCTGATCAGAGCTAAGCCTAGGAAAATCAAAAGGTATTAGTTCAGCCTTATCTTTCTCAGAGTAACCCTAGAGTCAGAATTTTTGTCATGGCATGATCTATTCCATTCCCATTTGAATTTTTTGGACAAAATGGTATCATGGTCATAGGTCTCAAAGGATGTTAATTTGTAAAGTAGGTTCATGCTTTGAAATATATCCAATGTAGTACTTTTCCCATTTCAAAGTCCCTGTCCACTCTCAGATCAGCTGGAGTGCTGCATGCAGTGTTGGACATGAATCTTCTGCTGCCAAAAGTATCCCCTTATCTCCTTTTTTTCCTACCTGACCTAAAGCTTGAAATGACCATGTGAATAGATCCCATCTCTTCCTCAACGCAGGCTAGGGACAAGGGACAGCACTGCCCAGAGTCATGTCCAGGATCCTATGGGCTCCCTGTACAGAGCCAAATGTGGGGGGGAGGAGGAGCTGGTGTGAAGTAAAAGTGTTTATGACTGTATTTAAACTCCAGTGCTTACTCTTTTATTTATTTATTTTTTTTCTCCCTCAGGTGGTGTGAAAATGATAATGAATGAGCCCAGGACTTCCTCACTGCAAGGTAAGTGTGTAAGAATTTGCTATTCATGGTACTTACTGAGCTCACACTGCTCACCAGCTATCCAAACTGAGCAGCGGTGAAAATATTTTGTGAAAAGATGCTTTGTGATCCTAACAGATTTGAGCCATGGTCTGACTGAGTGGTTGCTTGGCATGACATTAGCAGAGAAACAGCTTGTGCTTGAACTGATTGAACTTCCAATTTACCTCCTCCGAAACAGTATGTGGTTGTTCAGTGGTTTGGGAGAACACGGGTGGCCTTCTAACACTGCAATGGTCATAGCTTTATGATCAAATGTGATATTTTAGGAACAAAATGCGATCTTTAGTATTTTATATGTATATTTCTATGTCTACATGGATCTAATACAATGTTTATCTTGCTGGTTTATAGAGAATGACTTCTGAAACTAAGAAAATTAATTGTAACTGGTACTGTTTATAAAACAAAAGTTAAATATGGACACTGAATGAATCAGTCCATGCTTCAATATGACACAATATAAGCCCTAGAATTGAGAGATGTACAAAACCAAGATTGTAATTGTTCCACTGAAGTCAACCTCTGTGCACCTCTTTTAAGGCAGAGGCTATTAAATACTTGGAAATGCTGCTACTATGAAGTCACAGGCAATTTTAACATCAGACTTTTCCAATATCCTAAGTTAAATCTTGGCATTTTCCTCTAATCTTCACAAAGGCCCAGTGCACAGAGACAGTCTGCTATGAAAAATGAATTCTGAGCTATTCTCAACCCTCCAAAAAGACACAAGTATATCAGATTAGGCACATTTTATTTAAGTTAATCACATACCACATTTGGCATTTTCCTAAGGATAAAAAATACTGTAATTCCTAAAATCATTAATTTTAGATTTTCTGACATAGAATAATTGCAGAAATTTTATAAGATGAGACACAGGATATTTCATTGCCTTCATACTCTGAGGTGGCTGAAAGGCCATTCCTTGAAATTCGCAGATTGTGAGGCGGTACAATTCGCAGATTGTGAGGTTGCAATTTGTCATCGCAGCTCGCATCATTGTACATCTCTGCATCTTTTTCTGTCCCTTTGCCATTGGACTTATATTGGTGCCACATGGTATAATTCAGAGGCGTGCTATTTACACAGTTAAATTGACCTGAAGTCTCACCCTCTCTAATGCCC